TCTGACTCATAGCAACCCTGTGTAGGGTTTCGGAGGAGTGGCTGATGGGTGTGAACTGACAGTTGTGGACTCAGTTAAATCCATTGTTGGAAGCTCATCTCAATGATCCAAGGGTGGTGGCAGGGGAGGAAAATATTTACAACTTCGTATCTGAAAACAAAGAGTTCAAACAACTTAAGTTGTGGTATCTCTGGACAATGTGATTTTGTGCAGCTATTTACAATGAGGAAAGCTGAGCTTACATAAAACATGCTTTTGTGAAAAATCGGAATATAGGCATATAGCAGAGATATTGTGGGTTTGGTTCCAGTCCACTTCAATAAGTGAATTTCACAATACGGAGAGTTACACACATTGTTTAATTTTCCAGTGCACATAAAAGTTATGTTTATACTAAGAGTCTTGGTGTAGCACTGTAGGGTAAGCACTGAACTGTCAGCAGCAAGGTCAGTGGTTCAAACTCACCAGTTACTCATCAGAAACCCTATACAAGGTCACTTTGCATCAGAACTGACTCAACATCACTTAACAACAACTGTATAATACTGTAGTCAATGGCATACAATGGATATAGCACTATACTGCAAGGTTGGTTTGAATCATAAGGTTGGCAGTTCAAACTTACCATCTGTTCTTTGGAAACTTTACACATGGTCACTATGAGTCAGAACTGACTCGATGGCACTTAACAACAACAACAACAATGGAGTACAATAGCATTATGACAAAATTTGAAATATTGTGAGAATTACCAAATTGTAACACAGAGACAAGAAGTGAGCACATGCTGTTGGAAAAATCATGCCAATAGATTCCCTCCATGCAGAGTTGCCAAGGAGCTCTAGTAGCGTAGTGGTTAAGAGTTGGGCTGCCAACTGCAAGGTCAGCAGTTTGAAACTACCAGTGGTTTTGCAGGAAAAAGATGAGGCGTTCTGCTCCCATAAAGATTTACAGCCTCAGAAACCCTGTACAGGGTTGCTATGAGTCGGAACCAACTTTACGGTACTTAACAACAACAACAATGCAGGGTGACCACAACCTTCCGATTGTTGATAAAAATTAAGAAGAAAAAAAAGGTAGCTTCTGTAAAGCGCAATAAAATGAGGTAGACCTGTTTAAAATAGTGAACACACTGTGATGACCAGGTGTGGAACTGTTGTATAAGCACTGGACTGAGAACCACAATATTGGCAGTTCATATTACTAGCTGCTTCTTGGTAACCCTGTATAGGGTTTCCGAGGAGTGGTTGGTGAGCTTGAACCGCCAACCTTGCAGTTCAGACCAACATTGCAGTCTAGCGCATTAACCCAAATGCTACACCAGAAAATATAGAACTTGTTAAACAACTAAGTCATCTTAAATCCTTTCCAGATTAGGATGGGTATCATTAAATTAATCTGTTTCCTTGACATAATTAACTCTATTTTTATGGACCCAACTGTGGCATTGGTAAATAGAGAGTGAGGTTACTTTAGGCAAATCTGGGTGTACTGCAGGCAGCAAACCCTTCGCAATAGTGATGAGTGTAATGTGAAGAATTTCTGTTGCTCCTTCTGTTTTCCTATGCTGGAGTACAGTTTTGGGAATGCCCTTCTAACATTCTTATTAGGTAATATTCTGGCTAGGACAAGAAGATCACATGAAAGTTATGCTGTGCACAGTAATTTAGCAGTCACTTTTTGACACTGTCTGCTTTTTGAAGAAAGAAATCAATCTTCCCTCCATACATTAATTGACCATCTACTGAATCTGAGTCAGCTGCATTATTGCACCAGTATTGTAATAGCTTCTCTCACCCTCCTCCTCTCATGGATTAGAAAATTCTAAAATGCTAATCTGATCATGTGACTCCCATTTGTCCTTTGAATGGTTTTTGCACCTCCCTTCATTTCCCTTTGCTGGCCTTCTTCACACTTTGTTCTTTTGCCAACAGGTCTTCACATATGCTGTTTCCTCCACAAAGAACATTCTACCAACTCCTTATCTCTGTTAGCCTGATTAATTTATATCTGCTTTTGTGTTGTGCCTCAATTTAAATTTTACTTCCAAATACTTCCAGACCAGTCTCTATTATTACACAATCACACTTTATTGTGATTGCTTTTACTTGTCACTATTTCTTACCAAACATGAATTTGATGAGTAGGGACTATATGTATCTACACTGCCTGCCAATATAAGGTCTTTGTCTAGCATGTAATAAATACTGAATAGATATTTGTTGATTAATAAATAAATTATAAACTTTTACAACTTTATAAAGTAAGCATTATATCAGTATCATTTTGTAGATAAGTAACACAGTTGGACTTTATAGGTTGAACAACACCTTCTTCCTTTGGAAAAGCTCAAGAAAGAAGTCATTGTATCTTGAAACTTTTTAGTGTTTTTCATGGTGATTATAAGGTCCGTGGTTCAAGCTCACCAGCCACTCCTCAGAAACCCTATACAGGGTTGTTATGGGTTGGGACTGACTTGACGACACTTAATAACAGCATACAAAATTTGGTAGGAAGGTGATGAGGATGGATAATTGCATAGGAAATCTTTAGTGTTATATTATCTGTAGCTCCTGCACTACTGCAGTTATCATTTAACACATGCTTCAACCAAAGTCAAATATGTTTCTCTGTGACTTGATCTGTCTGTTCTGAGTCAGGATTTTTAAGTATCCTCATCTAATACCAAAATAGCACCAGGCTCTGCTTCTTAACACAAAAATAGCACCACACTCTTAATCTACTCAGCCTACTAAAGCATCCTCTTCTTTAAAGAAAAACAAACAAACCATCATTTTGGGCTCACCAGCTCACATGGCATGAACTTCATGGCAAACCTTAGTCCAATGGCTATTAGATGAATCCAATGTGGCCAATCCCTTATTAAATAATTCTTCTTATTATAAATGCAATTTACAGGTTTTGTTTTTTTTTAAATAGTGTGTGGTTGAGAACAAAGCTGTCCAGATAGAAAAAGATATGGATCACATAACTCCATTTGTTCCCACACAAACACCTTGGGGCATCAAGAGTCTTTTGTTCTCACTCAATTTCAGTTGCTCTTAAAATCTTTAACCAAGTATCAATTCCAGAAAGGTATGTATGCAAACGTTAACACAGTCATAAAATTCTTAAGAAATCCTTCCAGGTCTTCATTAGTTCTGGGGTTCAGCCCTGTTCAAATTACCAAAGCATATCATATTCAAGTAAGATTTCAAAGCAGTGTAGGCAATATCTGAACATCACATTTGATAGTAAATAAGAGGAAGATTAAGTACATTTGCAATGTCTCAGTTTTTTACTGTCCTTAAATTTCAGTCTAACTGAACATAAGAGAATCAAAAGACTCAAGGAGAGAAGTCTTCTTTGATACTAGAATAATTAAGCAAACTAAAACAAAGGGGAAAACAAAGTGGGTACAAAGGAAGGATCAGATTACAAAGATGGAAAAATACTGTGTTATCCCCCTGTTCAGAATTTCTAATAGGAACATCTAGGTATTAACACTCAGGGCAATGATACTCTGCCAAATTTAGGCAGATTTGTCAGGTGGTTGGTATAACTACCCCATAAATAATCCATATGAAATTAACAGTCAGAAGTGTTCATGCTGCCTCCTTTTTGGATTCTGTTATTTTGTAAACATTCTCCCCTTGCCTTTGCTAATGGTTTCCAAGAAAGATTGAGAACCCGTAAGTAAAGAGTCAATTCCAGCTAGCAGACATGCTCCATTTGGTTTTCAGAGTGGGTTTGATTTTATTTTGAAAAATACTTCTGAATTCTATTTTTTCTGTCTTCATGTTCCTGGATGACAACAGTGATTGGGGATTGAGTAGCTGGCCCTCTCTCTATGGGTCTGATGTTGGCTACAATTGTTTCCACGTTGTATTTTCTTACACTACCCCCTTGTATGTACTTACATCACCTGCCCTTCTCCTTTCCTCTTAGGAGTTTGCAATCACTACCTCATAGAGACTGCTCTTCCAATTCTACCTATTGATTTTCTCTCATGGTCCTGGTCAAATGGCCATCTTCTCTTTCCTTTCCCCAACAACCAGATGTACCTAAGTTCTTCCTTTTTAAATGCACCTAACATTTGATATACTTCTTTTGTAGCATACATGATATCCAGTAATATTATTATTCATATTTATGTTGTACTTATCTTGCCCTCCTTACAGTATTATAGGGTTTATGAACTCTACATCCATCCATTCACTCAGTACAAATGTATTAAGTACCAGGTGCCACACACTAACTAGCTTATGTGCTGTGGATAGTGCAATGAATCAAAACCAAAACAAAACAGAGTGCCATCCCTCTGAGGAGATGCTGAGAGCAGGAACTGTCTCCTGTGTATCTTCGTGTCCACCGCAGAGCCTAGGAAAACACCTTGATTTAATAAACAGTTGGCGTTTGAATGTGAATTTAGAAACATCCATTCACATTTACAAAGTGTCTTCTACTTAGCAACTCTATTAACCTAGATTACACCATTTTATTAAATAAAAATATTAGTGCTATATTTCTTCAAAAGGAAGTGTAAGCAATGACGTGGAGAGAAGGAGTGGCTGGGGACTCTGACTCAGGGAGGGAGAGGAGCTGTGTGCAGGTGGCTGTGGGGTGTACCCTTTGTCTGTTTGATGATGCATACAGGGGATTGTGATCATTGCAATGAAATGAAATACAATAGGATGAATGTAAAGATAATGTTCTCCAATGTTAACTATCACATCATTTACAATAAGAACTTTTTTTTTTTTAAAGGAAGTCTAAGAATCCAAATTCTTAGGTTGGCACAGAATGGGCAGTGTTTCATTCTATTGCACATAAGGTTGCTATGAGTTGGTATCAACTTGATGGCACCTAACAGTAACAACAACATTCTAACTACCAAACATTTCTTTTTCCATTCCAGTTACTATGAATCACCAAAGTTTTTTCTGTAGTAGTACTCAAAGTACTCCGATGTACTTTGATGTCCCTTTAAGTTTATTTACCTGGGTAACTGCTGAAAGAGAGGCGACTGCTGCTGGTGTCTTTATCTTTGATGTTGAAGTTCCAGTGTTTATAGATCCTCAGCATGGCTGCATACGTGTACCAACTTGAGTGAGCAAAAAAGATATTCTCAAATCCGGGAAGAACCTGTAGGCAGAATAATAGTGAGCAACACAGAGGCATATACATTAACTGACGACAATTTTAAGTGTAGGAAGCATACAAAGATTGTATCAATTCTGGAATTTTTATGCAACTCTTTCTTCAAAACCTAAGTGACAATTATTGTATCAGTTACTGGAAAACATGATCAGCAAGTCCAACGTTAACCTTTAATGTACACAAAACAGAAGACTCCATCCTTTTAACGTCCACATTGGAAGATTCTGGAAGGTGGAAATGCCAGGTGCATAAAGCATGAAAGAATTAGTGAAAGAAACAGAGTGACCTTCCAATTTCCTCCAGGGAAGTTCTGTCCAGTTCTTAACTTCTATGATATAGGATCCCAGGAGCTGGCATAGAGCTAAAGGTTGTTGTTGTTGTTGTTGTTATGTGCCGTGGAGTCGGAACCGACTCATAGCGACCCTGTACAGGGTTTCCGAGGGGGTGGTGAAATGTTACCATAACTTGAATAGCATTCAAAAGAGTCTGTGTGGATCAGAAAGAGGAGCAAAGGGCTGCTGTGTGTAGCTTACCTTAATGAGAGCAGAGCAATGTCCCATCTCCAATCTCTTTAAAAACGTCTGACTGTTATTTTTCATGACAGAGAATGAGGGAATCAGATCCAGCAGATCTCCAACACTGTTCAGGAACTGAATCTGGGCCAGGGTCAGGGGCTGAGAAAAGACAACAGCTGGACTTAATATCTATTTGTGTCAAGTGGATGTCATCTTAAAATTTTCCTCTGGTTAGGGAACTATTAAATTATTCCCTTGGAAAGTCCCTAATATAATCAATACAGCAGATTTTATTGTAGCTTATAAAATATTATAGTTCACAAGAGATGTTTAAGCATTTTTTTGATAGCCATGGTTTAAGGAGTGTTTTGTTCGACAGTAAAACTGTCTTTTGTTTGTATGCCCCAACCGCACAGCAGCTGAATAACAGCAGTATTGACATTTTAGTTTGGAGAACTCTTTGTTGTGTGTGGCTGGGTCTGGTAAGATATTTAGCAATTAACTTGACAAAGCTTATTCTTGGGGAGACATGTGGGAAGACAGACAATGGTGTTTTAATTAAGATAAATAAATAAAAACCAATCCAATTATTTATATATATTCCCTTCATTCTTTCTTTTTGAATATGTCATAAACTCATTTTCAAAACTGGAAGGTATTATAAGGTCTGTAGTGAAAAATCTCCCCTCGGCTCCTCACCTCTGTTAGCTCAGCGCCCACCCTATCTCCATTTCCCTTTTTATTGGTTTCTTGTGGAGACCTCAAGATTTTAAAGTGCTTGGTAAATACTTTTTTTTTTTTTTTTTTTACAAATGGGGAGTGTATTATATGCACTCTTCATCTTGAGAACAAAAAAATTTTTGTCTGAATATTTTTCATTTAAAATCTTGGGGATTTTTCTATTTTGGTTGTAAAAATCATCCTCATTCTTTTGGACAGTATTTCAATGTATGCTGATGGTGGTGTGTCATCAAGTCAGTTCTGACTCATAGTGACCCTGTGTGGGGTTTCCAAGGCAGTACGTCTTTATGGGAACAAAGTCTCATCTTCCTCCCAAATTTCAATGCATGTATGTATGGCGCTGTGGGCTAATGCGTCAGAATGCAAAGCCTTTTGAACTGCAATGTCAGTGGTTCAAGCTCACCAGCTGCTCCTTGGAAACCCTATACAGGGTCGCTATGGGTCGGAATCGACTCGATGGCACTTAACAACAACATGTATTATAATATTTTTAACCTGTATGTTGTTAATTGACTATTAGGTGGCTTCCAGTCTTTTGCTATTATAAATAATGCTACAGTAATGAATCATGACTACAGCATTTTGTGTGTATGTGACTCTGTGTATGGGATAGATTCCTAGAAGTGATTTTGACTTTGATTGATATTGTCTAACTGTTCTCACAAGAGTTGTTTTAAATATACTCTTAAAGTCCCAGTGCGGAGTCCTGGTGTGACTCTGTGGGTTAAAGTGCTGGACTGCAAAGTCAGTTTGAACTGCAAAGGTCCATTGTTCAAGCTCACCAGCCGCTCCTAGGAAACCCTATACTGGGTCGCTATGGGTCAGAACCGACTTGACATTGACAGTACTTAACAGTAATAGTAACAGTCCCAATACAGTAAGCATCTGGTTTATTTCCAATTGATAGGTTAATAACAATCTCATTGTAACACATGTATTTACATTTCATTGGTTGAGCATCTGTTAAGAATCTTTACATTTCTTTCCGTAAACTGTTCATATGCTTTATCCATTTTTCCAAGTTGTTCTTATTGACTTTTAGGAGCTCTATAAATAAATCCCAAGATGAGCTCTTTATCTCTTACACAAATTCTAAAAAAATTTTCAGTCTGTAATTTGTCTTTAATTTTTAAAATTAAGAATGATTTAAGATGAAAGATTGGAGATGTATAAGAAAGATACAACAAAATTATAAAGAAAAATAAAACTTATCTACCTACTTTACAATTTAATAAAATATTAGACAAATCCACTGCCACTGAGTCCATTCTGGCTCACAGCAACCCCAATGTTGTTGTTAGTGCCAAGTCACTTCCAACTCATAATGACCATCCATGTGCACTGCCAGAGGAAACACTGTCTGGCACTGAGCCAGCCACACAATTGTTATGCTTGAGCCCTACGTTGTTGTTGTTGCTAAGTGCTATAGAGTTGGTTCCAACTCATAATGGCCCTGTATAGGGGTTCCAAGGAGCCTCTGGTAAGTCTGAACCACCAGCCTTGTGGTTCAAACTGACCTTGTAGGTCAGTGCTTACCCTACAGCACCTCACCAAGACTCCACTTGAGCCCTATAGTACAAAGTAAATCTGCTCCTTTGGGTTTCATAGACTGCAAATCTTTACCAAAGCAGACAGCCTCATCTTTCTCCTATGGAGTGGCTAGGTGGTTTGAACCACTAACCTTGCAGTTAGTAGCCCAATGCTAAACCCACTGAGCCAACAGAGCTCCTCTTAGAAATCTCCAATTTCTTCTCCTTCCATAACAGTAGTAGCCACTATACTAAAGCTCTTGTCACTAATTACCTACTTCTCTATTATTTTATCATCCTGTATGAGTCTCAAAACTATATCTTTAAATATGCCTGTTTTTTAATTTGTACAGTTAGAATATTATTTTGCATTATTGTACTATTTTATTATATTCTTTTGTAACTTGTTTCTTCTGCTCATTATTATCTTTTTGACATTTATCCATTTCATTTCTATATGGTATTCCATCACATAAATATGCAGTATAGCAGCATAAGTATGCCAAATTGTATTTTGCCAGTTTTTCTGATCAAAGTCTTAGATTGGTAGGACAAAGAAAAAAAATCAAACAGTGGATCTGCCAAAACAGCCTATTTCCATATGAAAATTCCCTTTCATTGTGGATATACCATTTTGCATTCCCACGAGTATTTTAGGAGAGTGCCTCTTTTTCCCACAGCCTTGCTGACAGGGTATGCTGTCACGCTTTGCAATTTTTGCCAAGTTGGTAAGTGAGAAACAATTTCTCAGTATGTTTGTTTTAAATTTACATTTCTAATCTGATGAGTCCCCACCACAAATCTGTCAGTTTACTGTACTATGGTGACATTCTGTGATTCTGGAAGCTATGCCATGGGTATTTTAAATACCAGCAGGGTCACTCACAGTGGACAGGTTTCAGTTGAGCTTCTAGACTAAGACAGACTAGAAAGGAGAGGCTGACTACTTCTGAATGTTTAGCCACTGAAAACTTTATGAATAGTAGTCAAACACTGTCAGAGATCACAAGAATCCTGAATATTGAAACATGATGAAGAGCACCAGAATATTGTCAGGTATAGAACTGGAAGATGAGCCCCTCTGGTTAGAAGGCACTCAAAATGTGACTGGGAAAGAGCTGCCTCCTCTAAGTAGAGTTAACCAAGATGACATGAATGGAGCAAAACCTTCAGGACCTTCATTTGCTGATGGGCACAACTCAAAATGAGGAGAAACAGCTATAAATATCCATTAATAATTGGAACATGGAATGTATGAAGTATGAATTTAGGGACTGGAAATTGTTAAAAAATGAAATGGAATGCATAAACATCAATATCCTAGGTACTGGTGCCATAAAATAGACTAGTATTGGCCATTTTGCATCTGACAATCATATGGTTTATTATGCTGTAAATGACAAACTGAAGAGGAATGGTGTCGCATTCATCATCAAAAAGAACATTTCAAGAGCTACCTCAAAATATAACAATGTCTGTGATAGGATAATATCCATACACCTACAAGAAATACCAGTTAATACCACTATTATTCAAATCTACCACTAAATTAATACTACTACTATTCAATGCCAAATATTAAAACCAGTGAAGATGAATTGAGGAATTCTACCAACAAAGCAACCGGTATAGGGTTTCTGAGACATTACATCTTTGGCATGAGCAGAAAGCCTCATCTTTCTCCCGCAGAGTGACTGATGGGCTCAAACTACCAACCTTGTGGTTCGTAGTCCAGTACGTGCTACCAAATTAAAAATTCATTCAATCATATGATCATTTATTTACTGGATCCAAAATTGAAGAAAGAAAGGAAATTAGATTCCTACAGTGTTAAGTTATATTTTGGGATCATTTCAAGAACTTTTAAAATACTCCAAGGAAATAAAACTCTATAATTTTTACGAGTATATTGAATGGAACCTTTGAGTCCTTAGTGATTAAAGTTTTAAGAAAATTCTGCGTAGATGTATCTGTGTAAGGTCAGAACTAGAACTTGCACCTTTAGACATTTTAGTTTAAAAAGCATACAGTCTAAAACATTAGTTTAGCTAAAAAGTCAATACACTCATAGACCTTTTAACCTACTCCAGAGCCCAGTATTATAAAAGTGATTGAAATACGCAGAAACAAGTTGAATTACTCAACATGTACTGAGCTTGCATTTTATGTCAGACAGTGAATTAGGTGCTAGAAATAGGACAGGTACAATTGCATTTGTCTGCAAGGAATTTATATCCTTTAGCCTTAAAAACTCACCTCTTCTCTGTCAGTTTGTTGTACTGTGGTGCTGTGATGCTGGAAGCTATGCCACTGGTAGTTTAAATACCAGCAGGATTACCCAGGGTGGACAGGTGTCAGCAGAGCTTAGCCCAGACTAAGACAGACTAGGAAGAAGGAGAGGCTGACTACTTCTAAATGGTTAGCCTTGTGAAAAGCAGCAGAACATTGTCTCATACAGTACCAGAAGATGAGCCCCTCAGGTTAGAAGGCACTCAAAATATGACTGGGGAAAAGCAGCCTCCTCAAAGTAGAGCTGATCATATTGACATGAATGGAGCAAAGCTGTTGGTACCCTCATTTGCAGATGGAGTACAACTCAAAATGATAAGAAACGGGGCAAACATCCATTAATAATCAGAACATGGAATATACAAGCATGAATCTAGAAACATTGAATATTGCCAAAAAATGAAATGGGGCACATAAAGACCTGTATCTTAGGCATTGTTGTTGTTGTTATGTGCCGTGGAGTCGGTTCCGACTCCTAGCGACCCTGCACAGGGTTTCTGAGGCTGTAAATCTTTATGGGAGCAGAAAGCCTCACCTTTCTCCCACGGAACAGCTGGTAGTTTTGAACTGCTGACCCTGAGGTTCGCAACCCGATTCATA